TAATTAACAAAAAATTAAATAAAGAAGATCGGCCAATCTGATTAGAAGCGCGCGGCGACGAGGTCGTTCCACTGTAATCTGATACTGGGAGCGCGGCGAAGCGGTGGGCGGGTTGCTCTCCAAGACATGATGGTGGTTTGCGATATATCGCAATATATCGCAAACCGTGTCGAAAAATGACCCGTCTTTTTAGTGGCGACAAAATGATGCGCTATCATTTCCACACCTTGCGGTAGATAGCATGGTGCACTTTTTTATAGTGGTTTCTCCCATAGGCCTATTTCACTCTCAATTTGAAAATTATTCAAAATGCCATTACTATAAGCTGAATGTATCTTAAATGTAAAAAATTGATGGTGACAGTACCTTTACAAAAATTGATCCGTGGTTGAAAATCCCTCGATAAAATGTATTGCACACGTTGATAATGATACGTTAATAAAATGCTTCAAGAATTCTTTCTTCATCTCGTACACGAAGGCGCACTGCTGGACCGGTTATCCCGATATTATGCACGACACCCAGTTTCACATAATTATTGCACAACACGTAAAATTGTACGGTCATTTGGTTGGCGTGCACGCCCGGAAAATGATTCCATGTAAATTGTAAATTGGTTACTGAGCGGACATGTGAGTGTAATCATAGTGCGCAGGCGTCGAACTCACACGTACCCTTACACTCGCATGTCCGCTCAGCTGTAGTTGCGTGCTGCTGGCGTATGCAGTCTGGCAACAGCGTGCGAGAGCTAAGACGTTTTAATAAAAATCTTGTGTTCGCGTAGTAAATTAACAGTGAAAATGAAGTGTACTCTGCAGGAATATACGGATATGATTGTGTCATACGGACTAGCGGGAGGAAATACTTATCGTGCGGCCGCAATTTACATGGAATCATTTCCCGGGCGTGCACGAAAACCAAGTGTGGTCGTACAATTTTACGTGTTGTGTAATAATTATGTGAAACTGGGTGTCGTGCATAATATCGGGATAACTGGTCCAGCAGTGCGCCTTCGTCCTTATTTCGTCAAGGTCGAAAATTCACGGACACCCTGTATAATAAGAGATTATGGTGGATGGAACTTCATATATTTTCCTTCGTCAATCTTTACATGATTTATTATTTTTTTATTTCAACACAGCTATTTGTTCAGTGCATCTTGAAATAACATCTGAAAATCTAGCGCCTTTCAATCTGTCTCAATTTCTTACTTTCCATTTTTTCTCGTAAAAAATTATTACTAATAGTCACAGCTAACGCTACAATTGCTCGGCGATGATGATCCATCTTCAAGATTAGATGTTTATTTGACGTGTTGTTTTTGGCGCCAATTGTACGATCTCCGGGTGCGTTCAGATTTTCAGTTTACAACGCCTATTCCCAATCCACCCTACCCTCACCCATCGGGTAAGAAATCTGAACGCACGCCAGGTTGGACCCGAAGAAGTTAATGCGAGCATGTGCAGAGAGTTAACAACTTCGTGTATATGCACATGTGTCATATATATACACATGTGATACATGTGTGTGTCATTTATTTCGATAGCAGCCATATTGTTTCATATTAAACGCATCAAAAGTCATTCCATTTCCAAGACTATATTTACGCATTAAGGCCCAGTTCCACAATCCAGTTAATCCGAGTTTAAGTAGTGAATGGACCAATTAGGATCCAGTTTAACGTATTAAACTCGGATTAACTCGAGTTGTGAAACCGGGCCTAATAGAAATGGAACAATATTAATGCGCGCATTACATTGGCTGCATTCAGCAGAAAAAGCTGCTTTACAACGGTTGTAAAATTCGTGAGTCTGATTGGTATATGCTCTTAATTTTGGCTGAATCTAAGAGTATACACCAATCAGATTCACGAATTTTACAATTGCAAAGCAGCTTTTCCTGCTGAACGCAGTCACTGATTACGAACTATGCGCTCAATGCGTGAAACGGAAGTCACCCAGAACTCCGCTCTTTTTCCGCGGCCATGAATTTACTTAAATATATAACTAAATAATATAAAATATTTATAGAGAAGTTTAGATTATCATATTTAATATTTGTTCTTATAGTACTTGTTCATATAATTTAATTACTAATAAATGACGAACGACGGTTAAAATCTTTTGAATGTTATTCAAAGTCATGATCTTGACAATATATATCAAGGTCAAGGTTATTAGAAATGTATCCCTTTATCAACACACTTATTAAGTTTTAAAAAAATTCTGTATCAATCTCAATAAATTTTTCTTTTTTCAGGTACAAAAAATTCCTGAGAATTGCAGGAGGGGGATTTTTCCTGGAAAATAGATACTCTCAAGGAAATAGATACTAGAGAAAATAGATACTCTCTTTATTTGATGTCGATTTGAATATGAAAAAAAATAAAATGCATTAGTAGTGCAATATTGTGCCTACAGATTACTATTTGTCCCAGACCTTGCAAAGTAATTTAGATAAAAAAATTCAATTTTTTGGAAGATCTCAAAAAGTATCTAAATTAGTTCTTCATTGAAAAATTTCAAAAATTCTACAAACATAAAATCATAAATCTACAAAAAAGTTAGTAGAAAATCATTGAATAAAGTAATCATGTTATTGATAAAATCAATTTCAAAATATAAATATTTTATTTTTACTCAAAACAGCATAACTTTTTCTAATAATGAATTTTTTCCAATATTGAATTATCTCGCACCTCGAGATATATTTTTTAAATTATTTCTATAAATCAATATACATATATGTGAAATAATTATATATATATATATATATATATATATATATATATATATATATATATATATACACACACACACACACACACATACAGCATGATTCATTTTAATCTTAACAGGCAAATATTTTCAAAAATATGCGAAATACGAAAAAATGTTTCAGACAAAAGTTATATGATTTTAAAGGAAACATAAGATGATGTCATTAATTTGACTTTAAATAGTTATTTGAAGGTCACGTAAGTCACCCTCAAATTTTTAAATGAAACTGCTATTTTTTATTACATATTCTTGTAGTTTATCTCGAGAGCTTTCCAAAACACTATAATGAAGTATTTTTCATTAAGTACTTTTCGAGTTATGAGGCTTGAAATCATTTCTTAATTTTACAAAAATCGTAAAATATTTTATAAAATATTCATTTTTCGATTACCTCACCTTAATACTTTCATGTACAAAATAATGAGATGAATCAATTGGTGTAAAAAAAAACATAGTTATTATTAAGAAAAATTATGTAATTCTTAATTGCAAATTACATACTGTTTTTTAACAACTATGTGTTTTCTTTACACCAATTCCTCTCATTATTTTATACATAAAAATATTAAAGTGAGGTAATCGAAAAATGAATATTTTACAAGATATTTTACGGTTTATGTAAAATTAAGAAACGATTTCATGCCTCATAACTCGAAAAGTACTTAATGAAAACTAACTTAATTATAGTGTTTTGAAAAGCTTTCGAGATAAGCTACAAGAATATATAGTAAAAAATAGACGGTTCCATTTAAAAAATTTAGGATGATCTTCAACTATTTAAGGTCAAATTAATGACACCATCTTATTTCTCCTTTAAAACCATATAACTTTTGTCTGAAATATTTTTTCGTATCTCGCATATTTTTCAAAATATTTGCCTGTTAAGATTAAAATGAATCACTCTGTTATATACAGGGTGTTCCAAACCATCCATACATCCCTTTTAAAATGAAAATAAATGGCTTTTATTAAAAATTGCGAACAATTTTTAAATAAATCGGGTACGCTCTATCAAATGATATTTTCAATTTTTGATTCCGACTAAAAATACGCCATCCGAATCGGAAGTTGAATTTTTTTAGAGAAACATGGAAACTTTTTATTACAGATTCGCATTGTACGTGAAAAAATAAGAAACTTTTGTATCGAACGTTTTTTTCTAAAAAAGTGTCTCTGTCAATCCTAAAATTGACCTTGAAAGTAATTGTGATGAAACAATGAACTTCAAATGTTCCTGTGATGCGACTAATTATAAGAGTGTATGTGTGCTTGAATGTACACAGTTACTTTCAAGATCAATTTTAAGATTGACAGAAGCATTTTCAGAAAAAACGTTTAATACAAAAGTTTCCTATTTTTTCATGTACAATTTGAATCTGTAATAAAAAGTACCATGTTCCCCTAAAAAAATTCAACATCCGATCCGGATGGCGTATTTCCGGTCGGAATCAAAAGTTGAAAATATCATCATTTGATAGAGCGTACCTGATTTACTTAAAATTTGTTCGCGATTTTTAATAAAAGCCATTTATTTTCATTTTAAAAGGGATGTACGGCGGGTCTGGGACACATTTTGTGTGTGTGTGTGTGCGTGTGTGTAATATATTACACCTATTAAACATTTTAAGTTTCAAATTTCCTGCATTTTTTAAAGAATTCTAAAGAAAAACTATCTAAGTCGGAATTATTTTGTAAAATTTATTATATAAAAGATTTTATTTTCTTATGTCCTTATTTCAGAAATTGCTCTTTTAAATTTAAATAGAGATCGAAATCGATCAACAATATTACTTATATTATACATTAATTTAATATTAAAAAAAGAAAAAAGGAATAATATAAAATGCAAAATATTTTCAATTTGCGTTATTAAAATTTACATAAATTTGGGAATTGAAAAAATTTGAAATTTCATATGTCCATTAATTAATTTAAACATTTTTTGTGAATATTGAATACATTTATCACATTAGTTGTAGAAAACAACTTAATTAAAAAAATATTTTCAATTTGCGTTATTAAAATTTACATAAATTTGGGAATTGAAAAAATTTGAAATTTCATATGTCCATTAATTAATTTAAACATTTTTTGTGGATATTGAATACATTTATCACATTAGTTGTAGAAAACAACTTAATTAAAAAAATATTTTCAATTTGCGTTATTAAAATTTACATAAATTTGGGAATTGAAAAAATTTGAAATTTCATATGTCCATTAATTAATTTAAACATTTTTTGTGGATATTGAATACATTTATCACATTAGTTGTAGAAAACAACTTAATTTTCATTATTTCTAATAGTTTCCAGTTCTTTTTCTTGCAATGTACATACAATCAATAAAATTATAAGCATTAGTTACATATTTCATATATATAATAACATGCAATATAATATAAAAAATTGTAAAATTCAGATTTTCAAAAGTAAAAGTTTTCTTTTTGCCCGAAAACCAGAAATGCGAATAATTCCTTCAAGTTTCAAGTTCATCTTGCCTCGTTCTATTGAGTCAGAGAATCCTTTCGTAGAATAACAGATACGCTTGACTTTGTAGTACTGTATTTTCATCTACTTCTGATACCCTGTGATAAAAAACTGAGAATTAATACCGAAGAAAATTATGATAAAATAAGCAAAATTGGAAAAATATTTTATAATATTTTATAATATTTTATAAAAATAACTATAATGTTTTATAAAAATAACTTGTTATCCTATTAATGATTTTTAAAAATAATTTATTGCTGATTTTAAGAAATATAACTTATTATCATTATCATTAAAAATTTATATTTGTAATATTATAAAAAAAAACGACATAACTTTGATATTAATTATCAATATCACCATCAATTATAAAACTTATAATAATTTTGATAATTATTTTAAATCTTAATTTTTTTCTTCTGAATCAAAAAAATTTTTCGAAAATATTGCATAAAAATTTTATTTCTTGGGATCTTTAAATTCTGTAAGTATAAATAAAAAATTTCCTTATTTTGTTTTTTTAACATATGTATATATATATATATATATATATATATATATATATATATATATATATTTTTCTTCTTATAATTTTATGCAATTTTGAAATTCTGACATAATATCTAATCAATGATATGCTATGAATCGAATTCATTTAATATGCAAATGTGTGTAAGAACATAATCTGATTTAATTAAAGTTATCATAACAATCATAACAATCATTAAATTTTATAGAGGATTGCTGGAAGAAATGAATAGGAAGGGTAATTATCTAGAAGAACGGCAACTTCACCGATGATCATGACCTTGACATATGTGGTCAAGGTCATGATCCTGAGTAACCTCCAAAAAGTTTTAGTTGGCGGTCATTGTTTATTAAGAAGTTGTGAGCAATTGAAATTCACGTAAAGCAAGACGCTTTTCTTCTAGAGAAAGATAGAGATGTATGTGGGAGGAGGTCGGACGTGTCTTTACATCCATTTGGTCAACGAGCGACAGAATCTATTCATGGCAACGGCATTGACGCATCTTGTGGAGAGAGCATTCACACATTTTTCAGCCTAACAAATAATTGCTAGAAAACAATATTCGCAGACTAGAAAAATATGTGAAACGCAAGTGGCTGGATCGGGAATCGAACCCGAATCTTTCGCTTTCCGGGCAACTGCTCTAGACCACTGAGCTATCCAGACCTCACACCTAATGCTGCTTTTTAACACAGTGATGCGACTCCAGAGCGATGTTGATATCTCACTCAATGCCGATTACCACGCAGGATCCCTGAAAGGTTGCTCGCTGACCAAATAAGTATCAGTGGAGGTATTCGCGTATATGCTGGCTTCCGACTGGCCTTTCGTATGAAAACGGCACCGACCAGCACAACGCCGTAGAGTGACCACATCCCCCAAGATCTCTCTAGAATATACTAAAATCCTCACTGTACCAAATAGCAGTGGCGGATGGACCCTAATATAGGGCCGGGGAAGGCCTCTAGAGAAAGATAGGGATGTATGTGGGAGCGACGGCTAAAACCTTTTGAAGGCTATTCAGAAGGGTAATCTCTATAACATATGTCAAGGTCAAAGGCATCAGAGGTTATTCCCTTAAAGTAAATAATTACCTTACTTTTTTGTACAAACTATTTTAGGGTGTACTTCCGAAAAACCGATTACCTCCGATTTGAATGAAATTTTGTAGAAAGCTTCCTTTTAGCTTAAAATACAAGCCTGTAAAAAGAATTTTGGCGACTCCTACAAAAAAGTCATTTCTTTAAAAGAAAATTATAAAAAATAGAATTGTTTTTTTTAAATGGGATACCCTTCCGATCGGGCCCGACCTTTCCAGATGGCTTCAGGGAATCATACGAAGGTCAGCTGTTAAGATCATAACCGTGACTTTTCAATAATTAAAAAGTTATAAACAAAAAATCATTAAAAATCGCAGAAAATACATGATTTGAAAGATGTCATTCATCTCCTGCAACTTGTATCATTATAACGTATTGTTTCTGCGTAAATATGACATTCGAACAAATTATTCGTGAAAATAGTATTATTACCAACAGAGAAACTATCTAGCGAAACTATTGCAGATAAAATATCTTATTGTAGAGAAGTCTGTATGCTTGCATTAGATGCTGAATTTGAAGAGAAAAGATTGATTGGTGGAATCAATGAAATAGTAGAAATTAACGTGTGCAAAATTGGTCAAAGGCGCAAATATCATAGAGGTCGTGTTGTAGAAAGATGTTGGATTCTTGAAATGATTCATCGTGGATATTCAAATAATTATCGTCTAGAAATTTATCCAAAAAATAAAAGAAACAAAGATATTCTATTGAGTTTAATAAAGAAACTGTCGTACCTAGTACTGAAATTCACACAGATTGGAAAGGATATATTAATCTCAATGATAATGGATATATACATAAGACGGTGAATCATTGTGAAATTTGTTGATTCTACAAATTCTGGTGCGCATACACAAAATATTGAATCATCTTGGCGATGGATGCGTCGTCAATTATTTCATGGTGATGTCGGTTCAAGTCGAATAGCTGACCATATGTGCGAATTTATGTGGCGTCATCGCGTACGAAAACTTAATATAGATCCATTTGATCAACTTTTAAAAGATATTAAAAGAGTTTATCCAGGAAGAATTAATTAAAATGTGTTAGAAAATGTATAATATTTTATGTTTATATTTTGTTTAATAAAGATTTTTTTACTAAAAATCTTATGGAGAGTATTCAGAACAGTGACCTTGACATATTTTGTCAAGGTCGAGACAATTTAACTATCCTATTATACAGGGTGTTCCAAAAGTTCCGGACCGGTCAAATATTTCATAAACTATGCACTTTAGAAAGAAATGTTTCAGATAAAAGTTGTATGGCTTGAAGGGGGCCATCAGATAGTGGCAATGATTTGACCTTGGAGAGTTATTTGAAGGTGATGTAAAGGTCACCTTCAATTTCTTAAATGGAACCCCCCCTATTTTTTATTACATATTCGTGTAGCTTATCTCGAGAGCTTTTCAAAACACTATAATAAAGTATTTCTTCATTGAGTATTTTTCGAGTCATGAGGCTTGAAATCATTTCTTAATTTTGCATAAATCATAAAATATTTTCCTTGTCTAAGAAAGGCATGTTATTGACATTGTTGCCTCTTTTCCGGGATGATGATTGGTTATTGATCGTCAATAGTAATTTGCTGAGCGATTTGCTTCATTCGTGTCGTTTGACAGTTTGACAGGTTGACTGTTACGTCAAGGAAAGAAGAAATATAAAATAAATTAAAGAGAAAAAGGATGGAAGAAGCGGAAAGACAAATAGAGAAAAGGCATTATATATATATAAAATATATATATATATATATATATATATATATATATATATATAAAATGCCTTTAAATAATTATATGTTATTTATGATAAATGTTTTATTTAAAGTAGGAAAGAGAGAGAAAGAGAGAAGATAGACAGAGAAAGAGATAAAGAAATTTTATTTAAAAAAGTAGAGAGAGAAAGAAAAGGAGAGAGAGAAGAGAGACAGAGAAATAGAGAAAGAAGCTTTATTAAAAGAAGCAAAAAAAGAGAGAGAGAGAAAAAGAAAAGAAGGTAATTATGTTGTGTTATGTTGTATACAATATTTTAATATTATTATTTATAATTGTTATTTATGGTAAATGTTTTATTTAAAATTATATAGAAGAGACAAGATAGCGAAAGAGAGAGAGAGAGAGAAAGAAGAGAGACAGAGAAAGAGATAAAGAAATTTTATTAAAAAAAGCAGAGAGAAGGAGAAAAGAAGAGAGAAAGAAAAGGAGAGAGGAATATATATGTATATAAATATATATATATGTACATAAAAGTATTAAAAGTATAAAAAATATTAAAAGAGAGATAGTGAAAGAAGAATATTAGTATAAATATTTTATTTATTTAAAGTTAAAGAAGAATAAGCATAAAAAGCGAGAAGAAAGTTCGTAAAATATTCACTGTTCGATGATCTTACTTCAATACTTTTAGATAAAATAATGAGAAGAATCCATTGTTGTAAAAAATATATAGTTATCTTTATGATAAGATATGTAACTGTTAATTGCATATTACATATTTTTTTCTGAAAAAAACTATGTCCTTTTTTTATAACATGAATTACTCTAAATATTTTGTGTTTAAGATAAAATCATGGAATAATGTATATTTTCTAAGATATTTTATGATTTATATAAATTTGAAAAATTTTTTCAAGCCTAATAACTAAAAGAAATACTGAATGCAGAATAACTTAATTATTGTGTTTTGGAAAGAGATAAGCTACAAGAATATGTAATGAAAAGTAGAGATTAATGATTTTTAAATCCTTTTTTCTTGAGTTATTATTTAAATGAAATTAGCTGTGTAGTAAAAATCAATATTTTTAAATCCTTTTTTTCTTTGAGTTATTTAAATGAAATTAGCTGTGTAGTAAAATAGTCAATATCATCTAATGTGAAAAAATCAATAACAGATCGCTACATCTGTAAATGTATAAATGTTGTTACAGACCTGATCACGCGAATTTTACATGATATTTGCATAGAACAGAGAAAGAGAAAGAAAAAGAAAGGAATATAATATTAGGTAATTATATATTTATTAGATAACTTATTTATATAACTACATTATTTACATATCTTATATATTTTGTTAAATATAATTAATAAGGATTTTTAAATATTTCTTTTATTTGAGTTATTTATATTTTTTTATTTGAAATATTTGTTTGAGTTTTTATCATTGATAATCATAATATATAATTAATGTAAATGTTTTATTTAAAGTTAGAAAATACACGAAAAAACAGAGTGAGAGAAAGAGAGAGAGAAAGAAGCTTTATTAAAATTAAAAGTAAAATTAAAGAAGAACAAAATTAAGTATAAAAGAAGCAGAGAAAAAGATAAAAGAGATAGAAATATAGAAAGAAAAAGAAAAGGAGGAATATAATATAAAAAGGTAATAATACTGTTCTATATTATTAAATATAAAAATAAAATATATTTAATTGATACATGTATATGTTATGAATCTACGTGTGTGTGTG